GATTTCATACACAGATAATCATACAAACAACAAACCCAACAACAGTGACAAACAGAAAAACCTCAGTTGAAAAAACAGCATTAAAAATGGAATGAAACAGATATTAAAAACAAACAACTTTAGTGAGTCAAAAGGAAAATCAAATGATAAGGTGTTATATTTTAACCTAGCTACATCTGCCGTAATCGACTTTACAATGCTCACTGCCTTGATAGCCGGGTTATTCACATTGCTCATCTCTGGTCAGGGGGATGCAACAGAGGCTTAGCCCATGTGTGGACCCTGCAAATCGATATTGGACTTCCACTATCATCCATTGCCTTCTACAAACCGGGTGTTCATAATTTAACTCTGATACTATCCCTCTCAAATGAGGATTATTTATAATCGCTGGTGTGCTTCTTCCAAGTGAACTTAATTGACACCTCACTTAGGTAACTTTATTTAAGACAAGCCTTGAAGAACACAGATGCTAATCTTTCTGATAGCTGAGCACAATCTGATTTCTCCACACTTCACTTACTTATGTACTTAGTATTAATACTATGTCATTGAATAGTATGTACTGTATATACTCGATTGTAAGCCGACCCGAATATCAGCCATGACACCTAATTTTACCATAAAAAGTGTGCTGAAAGCTCAGCTTATACACGAGTATATATGGTATGTGGCTGCTGTTCTTAACAGTTTGGGTATCTTCACAACGGCAATGTTGTTAGCTTTCACCTCTTGAAGCTTAACATTTAAAATTAAAATAGCATGCATAATGTACAAAATGGAAATAGGATAAAATCATAAAGATTTAAACTTTAATGACATTTCTGTTGGAAATACTATCAGTATACATTTTACAAAGGGGCTTCAAAAAATTTATGAAAAATTCTGTTATCTTTCCATCCCGTTTTTTCTGCCCTATTTTTTTTAATATGAATGCTCAAAGTAGCTCTATTTGTAATAATTCAAAACTGACTCAAATATTCATCAACAGGTGAATGGATAAAAAATGGAGCACGGGTCATCAATAAAATCAACCCCCCCCCCCAAAAAAAATAATTTAAATCAATCCCATTTTTTCATGAGCTTTTTGAAGCCCCTTCATATTTAGTAACAAACATTCAGTTTTTCATGGCTATGTTTTCGTAGCAGGAAATGTTCTATACACAAATCTGTGTACATGTGTAATGTTTTTTAAAATACACAATTTTGTATAAACAAACTCAGATTAAACATTATTGTAGATAGCTTTGGAAGAGAAATGAAGACCCAAGGGTAAGGAGGCATAGTCCTTATCAGGAATGGTCGGAAGGATGAGCACAGTTTATTGTGAAGGTGTGCACCACGAAAAGCAAACCCCAGTGAGAAGGAGGTAGAAAGCAGGACTTGGGGTTAAGCATTTGTCCCCATGCCTTATGTACAGGCCAGGCAGCAGTTTTGTCTCCTAAAAAGAGCGGATTTTTCAGAGGACTAACAGGTCCCATTGCTTTCCACAAAGCAAACTGCAGAAGCTCTTGATGCTTAGCAGTTTTGACCAGTCAAAAAAGGCATTTCCTCTCACGTTACAGGATTCCTCCCTGTACGCATCTACTTAGCAATCAAGAATGAAACGAACAATGATAATAGGCCTTGCCACCAAACCAGACGGTGTCTTGGCAGGCGTAAACATAACCAGAGAAAACCCCTGGTATTGAGCATAGTGCCACCAAGGTAGAGTCATCTTGGGCCGAGGAACGGCCTAAATGTGGGTGCTAAATGGGAACTTAAAGAGATGAGCTATTGAGGTGTAGTGTTGTGTCTTTGATGTTTCTGTTATCTTGGATCTCCTAGGGGTGGGATAAGAGAAGACTGAAAAAGGCTCCCAGACCCAGGCTAGATGAAGGCTAGATGAAGGCTAGGTCTGTAGGCTTGCTTGGTCTCAGCTGTTGGGAAGCATGCAAAGGGAAGGGAAGGAGGCCTTTTCAAAAAGATGGTAGTTGATTTTCTGTTTGTTTCTTTTTCAGAGTTTACCCTTATCTTTGTCGAGCCTTGAAAACCTTTGTCAAAGACCGGAAAGAAATCCCTCTTGCCAAGGACTTTTATGTTTCATTCCAAGACCTGCCTACCACACATAAGTAAGAACCTATCTTTGTTTGTTTTTGAAACCTATCTTAAGAAAAAGAATGTGCCAAGTAGCCTAAACCAAACCTGCTGCCTTCGAATTGCTTCCTCATAGTGACCCTGTGGAACAGAATAGAACTGCTTCAAAGGCTGTAATCTTTACAGAAGCAGACTGAAGCATCTTTCTACTACAGACCAGCTGGTGCCTCGGTTCAAACTGCCAACTTTTTGGTTAGCAGCTGAGTGCTTCCATCATTGCACTACCAGGAGTCATTCCAAATAAGTAATAAACCAAGCCAGACCTATTCATTATAAACCTCAGACTCTAGGGTTCATAGGAGCAGACAGCCTTCTCTTCCACGGAGCAGCTGGCGTGCTTGAACCACTGACTTTGCAGTTAATCAGCCCAATGCTAACTTGTAGTGCCAGGACTCCTTTGCATATATACAATTATATTGTTTTTGTTTTGTCATTTAGCTGTATCATTCAATACTTATCTGGGAAATACTCATGAATTGAAGTAGTTTCATAGTATTGTGTTATACAGCTGTACAATTTAACCAATCCCCAATTGTTGCAAACCTAGATTATTTTTTATCTTTTAACAATGTTTTAGAAAAGATGCTATCTGTTTCACACATTCAAAATTATATTCTTGCAATAAATTCCAGAAGTAGATGTGTTGAGTCAAAGAAATACATAGAATTTTGAAACTATTGCAAAACTTTTACTGATCTATTTTTTTCTTTTTTGTGTTGTTCTTCTCTTCCTATTTGCTGTTATTTTCCCATTTAAAAAAAATCATTTTATTGGGGGCTCATACAGCTCTTATCACAATCCATGCATACATCAATTGTGTAAAGCACATTTGTACATTCGTTGCCCTCATTATTCTCAAAACATTTCCTCTCCACTTAAGCCCTTGGCATCAGCCCCTCCCTCCCAGCTCCCCCACTGATCTATTTTTAAATCAGCTGAGTAGGAAGTATTTCCTGTGTGGTCCTCAACTCTAGATACTATTAACATTTTAACTGTTAATGGGGTGAGGGATGGTATCTTTAATGTTTCAAGTTTTTCATGTTTTTTATTTAGTTCTTTATATTTACTCATACCCATCTAGTTGCTATGAATGCTTCTTGTATAATTTAGGAAGTAGCACAGTCAGTAACTAGTTGGTGTAGGAGAGTCCAAAGAATGTTTTACCTCTTTGTTGTTGCTTACCAAGCATTAATGATCGTTGAATACCATACCATCTCATTAAAATGTTAGGATTTCCTTCCTTGAGAATTGGAAGCTTACTAATGCACAAATGTCTTTCAACAGAATTCGAGAACTCACTTCATCCAGAATTGGTTTGCTCACACGAATCAGTGGGCAGGTTGTCCGAACTCACCCAGTTCACCCAGAACTCGTCAGTGGGACTTTCCTGTGCTTGGACTGCCAGACGGTGATTAAGGATGTAGAGCAGCAATTTAAGTATACACCACCAAACATCTGCCGAAATCCAGTTTGTGCCAATAGGAGGAGATTCTTGCTAGATACAAACAAATCAAGATTTGTTGATTTTCAAAAGGTAATTTGCAATCCCTGGTAATAATTCACACCTAGACCTTTGAACCAGTTTCTTTAGAGAATGTTAAACTATATTAAAAAATCATGCATCAAGATGTGAATTTAAGCCACAAACTCTTGATGTAAACTTCACAAAATTGTCAGCACATAAATGGTTCTTAACCTTTAATAACTTGAAACAGACTGACAATGTACTTGCCAAAAGAGTAGATTACTATTGTAAACCGGTGATTAAGAATTCCATCGAGAAGGAGTGATTTCTTAGGATAAAACTTCAAGCTGGTGGAGAGGAACGGAGACAGGTATGAATGAAGGGCCCAGCCAGGATGAACTTGATGGTTGTCAGCAATTATCATTATGGCTGAGGCAAAGGAGCCAAATTGGAGGACTGAAGGGCAATTTGGTATGACACATGGGGGGAACTTCTGTCTCGCACGTAATTTGAATATTTTGTGGGAGAGTATACTCTTAAGAGGAGATGACTGAGAGAAGAGAGAGATAGATTTTGAACAGTGAAAAAAAACCGTACATTTTATTTCTTTTTGGATGGCAATATACCTGCATCCATTGGCATCCTCAGGGAACAACTGTGACATTGGTTATGCCCTCGTGCTGTGTCATCATTCTAGCTGCCGCCCTCGTTTCATTACCTTTCATTTAGGCTGTCTCTTAAAGTTCCCTTCTGTACTTTGGATTAAATGTTGTCAGTTTAAACTCTTAAAGATAATTCTTTATACAATTACTGTTCTCCAGGCAGACATTCCTTGTTAACTTGGTTTAAATTTTGTTACAGTTGAACAATGGTAACATGGGACAGTTTCAGTTCAAGGTCTACAGTTTATTTTTCTGGCATTAAGATTCAAGAGGTTCCCTAGTCTCAGTGGGTCCAGTAAGTCTGGTTTTCATACCAATCTAAAGTCCAGGTTCTGTTGCTCCTTTTGACCAGGATCCATCAATTGGATTTGTGATCAGAATGCTCAGGGAAGGGTAGCTGGGTGCTGTTTTTTCTGGTGTCATGGTATTGGTGGGATGAGTTTATGGAGACCCTTAGGCCCACGGTCTGTTTCCTTCTCCCTTTCCCAAGTCTCGTACTGTGCAGTGGTAGCAGTGTTGTTTTTGTTGTTGTTTATAGGGCAGAGCGTGAAACAGTGTTTTTTAATGAGAGTAAAAGTAATGTTTTTGTTTTTACCCCCATTCTTTAATTTAAAGTGACTTTTTAAAATAAAGTATAATCATCAAATTGAACTATTAATGGTGACACATGTCAAAGTCTGCCCTTGATCAATGATTTAGAACGTGTCAGTGTTTGTGCCACTTGGTTGAGGTCACCTTTGAAAGGAATCTCTTCTGATTCTTGGCCATTTATTTGTACAGGTTCGTATTCAAGAGACCCAAGCTGAGCTTCCTCGAGGGAGTATCCCGCGCAGTTTGGAAGTGATCCTGAGGGCTGAAGCCGTGGAGTCAGCTCAAGCTGGTGACAAGTGTGACTTCACAGGGACGCTGATCGTTGTGCCTGATGTCTCCAAACTTAGCACGCCAGGTGGGTCGTCTGTGGCCCCGAGTTCACCACTTCACAGCTGCTCGGCCTGTGGGTTACCTACCGCTTGCCTTCCCTATCTTCTTAGCTATTGATGAGAGAGTACACAAGGAGAAGGCTGAGAAGTTTTTAAAATATTTGTTACAAAAACTACTGTTTGGAAAGTTGTTAAAGTCTAAACAAAATCTTAGTATTTGAGGAGTTGCTATCAGGCGCTCAAGTGGGAAGAGGATGCTTTGAAAATGATGATGGTGGCATATGAGCAAATGTGCTTGACACACCGGATCAATGTATGGATTGTGATAAGAGATGGAAGAGCCCCCAATAAAAAGAAAGACCTTTTAGGATTTGTAGGTTTCATTTATTTGACGGAGTTTTATTCTTAGCACCTCCCATATGTTAGAGTTCACTGTCAAACAGCCTGTCGTTCACTGTTTCAGGAGCACGCGCAGAAACCGATTCCCGCGTTGGTGGTGTTGACGGCTATGAGACAGAAGGCATTCGAGGACTCCGGGCCCTCGGTGTCAGAGACCTTTCCTACAGGCTCGTCTTTCTGGCCTGCAGTGTTGCCGCAACCAACCCACGGGTGAGTGGTCTCAGTAGAATAAAATGGTCAAGCTTGAGAACCAACTCGCCTATGAGACGGTCTCAAAATTGCAGGTTTCCGGAAGAGCTGAGAGAATTAATTGGTATTGACAGTAGAGGGGTGGGTTGAAGTTTTGAGTCTTAAAACTTAAAAGTCAAGTCGTTTCATACCTTGAAGACCTCTTACTGCTTCATACTAAGAGCTCAGTGCCTTAGATGTATTGCTACAAATAATCTTGTTTATTGTTTTCAAAAGAACCATAGTTCACTCTCCTGCAGGAAGTACAAAGAAAACTTTTAAAAAAAATCTAGGAAGTAAAGTCTTTGTGGGAGTCATGGACCCTTGAACTCCTGACATCATCATACACAAGGGACTTCAAAAGGTTCATGAAAAAATGAAATCGAAAGATAATAGAATTTTCCCATGAACTTTTTGAAGCCCACTCATAGTAACTTGATTCTGTGTCCTGAATGGCGAAGCAGTGACCTGAAAAAAGACTTTGGAAATTCACTCCAGTATTAGGAGAAAGGGGTGGACATTGTGCTGGAAGTCCACTTACATCGTCATACCAGTGATTACCATTCTGTTCTGGCATATTCCGATTCATTTAGACAGCATTACTCAACTGGTGGGAGCTTTGTGTATTTTTTAATTCTCTGCACAAATGACAAACCTTTTAAGTTCCTTGATTATTTAGTTTGGGGATTTTTATTTATTTTTATGCCTTTGTAGTCAAGAGATGCTGGATTGGGTCACCCAGGCTATAGTTTGTTTATTGTGAATTTCCTTCTCTGTCACATTTTGACTACTTGTACTCTAATACTCTTTCCCTTTCTCAACTGCCCCTTAGTTTGGAGGGAAAGAGCTCCGAGATGAGGAGCAGACGGCTGAGAGCATTAAGAACCAAATGACTGTGAAGGAGTGGGAGAAAGTGTTCGAAATGAGTCAAGATAAAAATCTGTATCACAATCTGTGTACCAGTCTATTCCCCACGATACATGGTAAGACTTCCATCCATTTGTGGCAAAAAATTGAATTAAAATCATGTAATCGTTACAAGTATCACATGGTTTCTTAGAAAACTTAAGTCAGCTCGTTAAGAGTCTTCTATATGAGCTTCCAAAGGCACTCAGCCCAGAACTGGACTTCGGTGTATTCCACTTGCTAAATCAGTCTCCTGGCTCTGTTTTACTCTGTACTTTTCAGCATGGAGATGTGGTGTATCTTGGTTACTTAATATTATGCATGTACCTTTGGCAGTCTTTTGCATTTCTTACCTTCACTGTTAGTCATTAATGAAACCCTGGTGTGTTAGAATTCTCATTCTTTACCTCAGAATTTCCATTTTTCTCTTCACTCATTTGAAGTTAGGACAAAAACTCGGGGTTTGGATATTTCTCTAAGATAAAATTTTTTTTCTTGTATTTCATCCGTGAAGCTGAACTGAAATCTTTTGTCTTAATCCTTTTGGATGTTCAAGTGTCTTCCCATATATCGAGTCTTACCATGTGTCAGCTGGCTTTTTCTAGAGCCACTGACCCCATAGAGCAAAGCAAGGAAGGGAGTGTCATGAGATGCCTCTCATGACAGAGTCAGCAGTCACACGTCTGACTTCCACAGTCTGTTTGTTAGAAACAAGAGCCTTTTGTTTTTTTAACATTTTATTAGGAGCTCTTATAGATTGTATTACGATTCATAGTTCCATTAGATCAGGCATAATTGTACAGTTGCTGCCATCATTATTTTCAATACATTTTCTTTTCTTCTTGAACTTGATATCAACTTCCCTTTATCCCCTCCCTCTCCCACCCTACCATGCTCCGAAACTTCAATATATATTATTATTATTGTTGTTTTCTTTCCCATAGCTTCCACCATCCTGTGTATCAAATCACCTAAAACTAGTGTCCATTCCTTTCGAGTGGGGTTATACAGTTATCATTGCTATCAGTTCCTCAGACACACACATACACACCCCTTTCCAATATCTTTAGGGAGTCATTATTCTCCTTTCTGTTTCTGAGGGGTTTATCTGCCATATCTACTCGTGTATGAGCTGAGTTTTCCAGCACATTTTTATGCAGGTTTTGTGGTAAAATTAGGTGCCTCGGCTGTTATTTAGGTCAGCTTATACTCGAGTATATACGGTATCTTGAATTGTGCATTGAAAGATCTTGATTGTACCAATGTGTAAACGCAGGTGTAGCAAGATTAGTGAAGTAAAATTAAGGCCATAATAGTGAGAGGAGGAAATTTAAAGAAGGAGATGTTGTGAGTTTCAGTAGTATTCTACTGCTCCCTAGATATATCGTCCTTTCCATATGGCCCTTCTGTGAGGACTATCCCATTATTTTACAGGTGGGCTTTGGGTCTCCACCTTGCCTATAATCCTTCACGTCAGTGTGATTGTTTGTTGTTGAGTTTCTGATACCTATTCGCGTTGGGAGGATGAGTATCATACATTGCCACATTATTAGAACAAACAGTTCTTATACCGAGGTAGGATTTAAGTAGAGGGCCAAAGTCCCATCTGCTTCCTTATTGTATTTGCTTATATATACATACATAGATAAATGCACCTATCTTATATATTTATACCCTTACATATATACATATCTATATTTATACCTATATACCTAGTTTTTACTTTAGTTGTTTCCTCTTTTTTTTTCCTCCTGTCCCCCAATCATGTTCGCCCATCGTTTGCCTCTCAGTAATTCCTCTTGGGTGCATCTTACTTGATCAGTCATCACCAGGGACACTACACCCTCCTCGCTGTCAGTTGTAGGTCCCTTGCTATTCCCCTGTCCCTGACGTGTTGGCTCACTGTTCCTCTCCCCAAGTCTCTTTCCCTCCCATCCCCTCTGAACCGTCAGTCCCCCGTTGCTGTCTCCTTGAGATTGTATGTCCTGTTTATCTTATATAAGTAGACATCAAAAAGAAAGGGAAGACGAAAAAGCATGTAAATAGTTCCAGGTCCACCTACTGACCTTTGTGACCATCCCCCAACCAGTTCAGATGAGGTGCGAACTGCTGGCCCCAGATTCAGTGGTCCACTTTCGGGGTTCCTCTGAGACTTTGTGGCTTTGTTCCCATTGCCGGTCTGTTTTGCTCCTGTGTGCGGAGCTCAGACCAGCCACACTCCCCACTGTGTCTTCAGTGCTGACCTCTACAGCTCTGTGATCTAGGGAGAGGTCATGTTTTCTCGAGTTGGGCCAGCTCCTCTGAACTAGGCAAGACCCTAACTTGAGCCCACTCAAGAAGGGTAGCGTTAAATTAAGCTGCATCTCTTGGTAGAAGGAATGTTGAAGACTTTGTGAACATTTTAAAACCGTACCACAACACATTTTGTTTTGTAGGTTATGATTGAAGTTTTGTTTATGGAATAGATTTAATGTTTTTACTCAAAAGGATATTGGTGAAATACACAACTCATAACAATTACCTTAGAAAAGTATTCAGTAGCACACTTCCAAAGATAGAATGTTCTCTTTTAAAACTGTTTTCTTCTTGCATTGGGTTTATGAGCTGTTCGAAGCATCTTGAATTCCGTTTGGTGTCTTACCTAAGCTGCAGTAGTTCAACTAGCATGAATTTATTCAGTGTTGGTCACTGTGGGTGAGACAGAAGAAAGAAACCATAGTACATTTCCTCAAACTGGTTACTTGCAATGGAACTACAAGACCTGCCATTAGAAAGAATTGGAAAACGTGGCAGGCTGCAGTACGTCTGAGTCACGTGAGGACTGGGCCTTAGGAAAGGCTTTGTGTAGGAAAGCCCACTGCCATCGAGTCAGTTCTGAATTCTACCAACCCTATATAGGGTTCCCGAGGCTGTAAACTTTAATGAGAGTAGACAGCCTTTAAAAGCAAATCCACTGCTGTTGAGTCAATTCCAACTCATAGCAATCCTGTAGGTCAGTAGAACTGCCCCAGAGGTTGTCATCTTTTTGGAAGCACACTGCTAGATCCTTCTCCCATGGAGTGTCTGGGAATCTTGAACTACTGACATTTTGGTCGTCAGCATCTGTGACATCTATAGTGTGCATGAAGATTTTAGAACAATGTCTTCTAAGTTCACAGAACAAGGGCCAAGGTATTTTTACTCCCAATCTTGTGATGTTTGCTTCAATTCTCTGATCATTTGATTATTGTTAAGCTTGTCTTTGTAGTTCCTAGTGAAATCACTTCATGTAGTTTCGTTTCATTTTAGGCAATGATGAAGTAAAACGGGGTGTGCTGCTGATGCTTTTTGGTGGTGTTCCAAAGACAACAGGGGAAGGGACCTCTCTTCGAGGGGACATAAATGTTTGCATTGTTGGTGACCCAAGTACAGCTAAGAGCCAATTTCTCAAGTAAGTGTTTTCCTGAATTAATATAATAGAAAAAGATGAGTGTGGTTGTAGATTCTCTATGATAGCCAGACTGCATTCAGTTTGCTTTCAGTGAGGGGTCAGGTGTGGAAATTAAGACTGCTGAATACACAACCGTATTAGGTTAACTACATTTCTTTTTGTTAGCATGTAATGTTCCTCAATATGGATAAAACCACATTCATCAGCTGATGAACATTTGCTTTATGAGTAATTTTGCTATAAAGTTGTACACGTTTTGTATTGGCAAACTCATTTTCTTTTCTCTGTGGGAGAATTCTTGGGTATGTATTTGCTAGACCATACAGTAAATCATTTAGCCTTTTGAGGAACTGCCTGACCATTTTCCCAAGCAGCTACACCGTTTTACTTTCCCACCAGTTATGTATGAGGACTCTAATTACTCTACATCCTTGTCAAAACATATTATTGTCTGTCTTTTTAATCATAGTCATTCTGGTGATAGTCTTGTAGTTTTGTTTGGAATTTCTTCAGTAGCTCTGATTGATGGTCAGTATCTTATGCGCTTACTGCCCTTTGTGTATCTGGAAAATATCTTCACGTTCTTACCCAATATTTTAGTTGGATTTAGTGTTCTTTTTACATTCTATCTTCAAGTCCCATTCATATTAGATATGATTTTAAATGTTTTCACCAATGCTGTGGACAGTCTACCCTCCTTTTTACATGGTATCTCAGAAGCACCGAAGTTTTTGTGTTTAATGGAGCCCTTTTTGTCACATAGGAAGAGATACATAGTTTAACTCGTCTGTGATTACTTTTAAATTGACCTCTGCGTACAGCATGAGGAGGTGCAACTTCATTCTTTAAGTGTTAAGACTATTTTTTCTTTTTCTTTTTGAGACTATTTTTTCTTGATAAATTACCTTGACCTTAGTGAAGTTAAATGATCAAGAATCAGTAATGTGAGTATTTGCATGTGAACTCTCAATTCTGTTCAGTTAAACTGCATGTCTGTCCTGCCGGTTTCAAACTGAAAGCTTTGTGATAATGGTGAGTCATCCAACGCTGTTCTTTCCAGACATCAGGAAATGCAGGTCCTCCAGCACAGTTCTTTTTCCAGGTTGTTTGGCTAGTCTTAGTCCCTTCAATATGCATATGAGTTCTGGGATCAGTTTATCAATTTAAACCAAAAAATTAGCTGGAATTTTGATAGAGATTACATTGAATCTATGAATCAATTTGAGGAACACTGGCACTTTTATAGTACTAAGTACTTTTCATTTGTAAACATCAGGTGTTTTTTCCATCATAGGTTTTCCTTAATTTCTTTCAACAAGGTTTTTAGAGTAAATTTTGTACTTAATTTTTATTTCTTAAGTATTTTATTGTATTTGAAGTTATTTTAAGTAGAATTCTCAATTTCTTCCCCCCAAAAGCCTACAGCTTTGATTGCATTGAATCTATAGATTAATTTGTGTAGGATTGCCATCTTAATAATACTGATTTTTGCAATTCGTGAAATGAAATATCATCCCATTTATTTAAGTGATCTTCACTTAACTCTGTAATTTCACTCTACAGTCCCTCACATGTCTTAGTGTGGGTGGTGCTCAGTGGTTCTGAATCATGTGATCCTGTGTACAACAGAACCAAACACTGCCCATCCTTCGGTGCCATCCTCACAAGCCCGTTAGTCAGGGGTGAACTTATTCTTAAAGTATTTTGTGGTTTTGGACACTACTTTAAATAGAATTTTTATATTGCTGGGAGTATTTATTTTACGAACTTTTTCTGGTTTTTTTTTTGTTGTTTGGTTTTTAATTACATTTCTGAGTATTGGTTGGGATGTGAAAGTGCCAGTTGAGTTTTGCATATTGAGCTTGTAGCTTGCAACTTTATAAATTCACTTAAGACTTCCCAAGGGAATTAGAGGAAAGAGCTGGGAGGCAAAGGGCATTTATAGAGGTCTAGATAAAGACATGTACATATGCAAATATATTTATATGTGAGGGTGGGAAAATAGATCTATGTGCATATATTTATAGGTTTAGTATTAAAGTAGCAGAAGGACATTGGACCTCCACTCAAGTACTCCCTCAATACAAGAATACTTTGGTATTCTGTGATGCTCATCTTCCCGACACAACCGCTGAAGACAAAGAGGGTGAATAAGCAAATGTGAAGAAAGCTGATGGTGCCTGGCTATAAAAAGATATAGTGTCGATATCGCGAGGTTGGGGTGCTCACGGAGCACTTCTCCAAGGAGGCATTCCCGGGGCGATGCGGGGGCTCCGCTCGGGCCCCGGGCCACTGCCTCTGTGGTAACTCTCTCCGCTTCTCTGTCAGCTTGCTGAGGCAGCTGGACAGGTGCGCGACATCTCTGCCCCGCAGGTCTCCGTGGATAAAGGCAGCGAGTCCTCAGCTGGCGGCTGCGGGCACTGAAACAGGAGTGAGTGAAACGAATTCCGGGAAGGGAGCCGAAGGCCCGTCTGTCGCTCGCACTAGAAGCCGGATTTCCTCTCCCTGCCTTCAGCTTGGGGCTCCTCTGGGCAGAACTAAGGTTGGGTCCAAGAACTATTAGAGATTTCCATTACTGGACTTGTTCTGTTAAAAACCAAGGTAGCCCTTCAGAAATGAGTTCCACAATTGAGAAGGCACTTGCTGATGCTAAAGCTCTTGTTGAAAGACTGAGAGATCATGACAATGCAGCAGAATCTCTTATTGAGCAAACTACAGCTCTCAACAAGCGAGTAGAAGCAATGAAACAGTACCAGGAAGAAATTCAAGAACTTAATGAAGTCGCAAGACATCGGCCACGATCCACATTAGTTATGGGAATCCAGCAAGAAAACAGACAAATCAGAGAATTACAACAGGAAAACAAAGAATTGCGTACATCCCTGGAAGAACATCAGTCTGCTTTGGAACTTATAATGAGCAAGTATCGCGAACAGATGTTTAGATTGCTAATGGCAAGCAAAAAAAGATGATCCAGGTATAATAATGAAGCTAAAAGAGCAACACTCCAAGATTGACATGGTACATCGTAACCTCTCCGAAGGACTCTTCCTTGATGCATCTCGACACATCCTTGAAACACCTCAACATGGACTAGAGTGGAGGCACTTGGAAGCAAATCAGAATGAATTACAAGCACATGTTGACCAAATAACTGAAATGGCAGCAGTAATGAGGAAAGCCATTGAAATTGATGAGCAACAGGGTTGCAAAGAACAGGAACGAATATTCCAACTTGAACAAGAAAACAAAGGCTTGAGAGAAATCCTTCAGATAACTCGGGAGTCGTTTTTGAACCTCAGAAAAGATGACACATCGGAAAGTACGTCTTTGTCAGCACTGGTGACCAGTAGTGACCTGAGTCTGAGGAAAAGCTGAAGCGTTTCCAGCATGTGAGCTTTTATCCACATGCGTGTCACTGGGGCTGAGAGATGAATGGATTGAGTAACAGAAAAATCAACCTCAGTCAACCAATGTGTGTGTGTGTGTGTGTATAAATAATACATACGCACATCATATGAACAGCATACTGGACAATTACATTTAAAAATTTTTTTAAATGCAATTAAAAAGTAGAAAATAAACCATTTATAATTAGTGAACAGATGGAGGATTCTTGGTGAGTACTGAATATAAAAAGGGCTTCCAGTAGTACTCTTTGCTAGTTCTAGACAATATTTGGGTAATCTTGCATATTTCCAGGCAGCTAGGATTTATAGAATTATTCCACTTTAAAAATACAAATTTAGGGCATGGCTTTGTGAATGGAAAATTCTAAGTATCCTTCCTGTTTGGTTTTAGAATTTACAAATAGCTTTTCAGAGTTTGGTTTACGTGACTGCCAGTCCACTTTCCCATTCTTTTTTTATCAAGTACAATTGCTTTAGAGGCTTTAAGAATGTTTTATACTCATCATAATGAGATTTAATTTTAGCTATTTACGCTATTAAAACGTGTCTGTTTTCCATAAGTTGCTTAAATGTATGAAATATCTCAGGAATGAAAGAGAAGGAATACTACTTTCTAAGAAAGAAGATCTTTTAAGAGATATATTTAGTAGGTTAAACTACTCAAGACAGAAAAGTTTTGGTTCTAAGTCAATGGTGAAGATGAGATTCTTCTCTTTTGTGGTTGATCTGTGATGATTTTATGTAGCCTATTAAGCTAACAGAATCAAATTATTAAATGCTTATTCTTAAATACTAACAGTATAAATTATAATTTCAAAAAAACCTAAGATTTTTCTTACCAACCTTTTAGTCAAAAGGAATGAAAATCTGTCTCAGAAGTATATTTTATGTTTTTGCAACATGTCAAATATCCAGTATACAAGTTTTGAAAAGGCCACCACAGAAATGTGCCTTTAATATAAGTTGAAACCTAAAGTTTTCTTATTTCTTATTTTGAGATGATTATGAAATAAAAGAACAAGACTGTCAAAGAAACTTCAATGTGTTCATTTAAATATTATAATTAGCAGATA